GTGTGTGTGTGTGGGTGTACCTGGAGTAGAAGTACAGGTAGCCAGTGGATAACATCCTCCATTGTTGGTGGAGCAGATGTCAGCTTGAGTGCAAGTCTTCCCATCTCCCTCATAGCCTGAGGACACACACATGGGGTCAAGCAGTCTCATCTTACACTTAATGGCTATTTTAGCCCAATCATTTCAGTGAGTCTGGTCTTTCTCTGCGATCTAGCAGTCAACTGAGACTTGTAAAGCTGAATATATTAACAGGACCTACAGACAGCACTGTCCTCAATGAACCCAGCTAATGGATCTCTCCACCTCTCCTAGCTTTCTATCTCCATCTCTCCCAGAGGGAATATAATGACATTCAGATCACACAAGCATCTGTCTCTCATTTGAAACATATTACAGTGAGCAAAAACCATGATTCAGCAGGATTTTACAGGCCAGCCTGTGCTGAAAGCAGGACAGAAGACCAGCAAACATGTGAGATGTACTAAAATATGCATGTTTCAATTTCCTAGCAATCTCTAGAGGGAAATTATGAACTAGAAATGATTCTGATTCTGAATATTAAGATATTAAATGCATAGTTCACCCAAAACAAGTGACATTTCAGAATGTTTCTCACATAAAGCTATTGTACGCCTTGGAATATAGTGAACATGTCCATTGGACTAATTTTATGGTGCTTTTTGGAGATTGACAGACCCAGTGCTCATTCATGGAAAAGGACAGACAAAATACTTGTAAAAAAAAAAATAAAAAAAAATTTGAAGAAAGTAATAAAAGTTTCAAAACAGCATACTACCATTTAAAAGATTAAAAAAAAAAAAAAGAAATTAATACTTTTAAAAGGATGCATTAAATTGATCAAAAGTGATAGTTACATTTAGATTGTTTATATTGTTCAAATAAATGCTGTTTTTTAACTTTCTATTACATGAAACAGCACAACTATTTTCAGCATTGATAATAATAAATATTTCTTGATCAACAAATCAAAATATTAGAATGATCTCTGAAGGATCAAATTCCTTTGCATCACAGGAATAAATTACATTTTAAAATATATTACAATATAAAACAGTTATAAAACAATTATAATAATATTTCATAATATTACTGTTTTTGGCAACGCCTTGGTGAATATAAGAGACTTTAAAAACATTTTTAAAAAATTTACCAACCCCAAAATTTTGTACAGCACTGCACAAATTCTCATTTTTGGGTGAACTATTCTTGTTAAGACAACAGATCTTATTTTAAATTGCATGAGAATCAGGATGTGAGCTAAACCTGGAGGACACTGGCCGCAGTGGAAGGAGCCCATGGTGTTGAGACAAGGTACCATGGGGGAAGTAGAACAGCCTCCATTGTTTGTGGCACATTCATCGACATCCTGGCAGCTGTAACCGTTACCCTGCCATCCTGGAGGAACCAAAAGAATTCACTTCATGAAATAATGTTCTTATTAAGAATCTGTTAGGCTATTACATGCATTTAACGTAAATGCACCCAATAATCTTTTACATAAACTATCTAAGAAAAGATAAATGATTGATATATGGATATCTTGGCAATAATCATGTGACGTGGCTCAGCTGGGCTGAGTGGTCTGACCTGCAGGGCAGGCGCCGCAGTAGAACGAGCCCAGAGTGTTGAAGCACTGCACAGGGGGGTTTGTGGAGCAGGGTTTGTTCGGGAGGCTGCACTCATCAACATCAGCCGTGCACGCTGACTCTCCGGGAGGAGACATCCAGCCAGCATCACAGATACACTTATATTTGGGCTGAAAAGAGACATTAAAGAGATGCATGTTGTTCCAAAGCTGTATGACTTTATTTGTTACGTAGAACACAAAAGGAGACGTTAAGCAGAATGTTCATGCTGCTCTTTCCACAATAATATTAAGCAGCCCAAAACACTGATAATAAGAAATGTTTCTTGATCAGAAAATCAGCTGATTTCTGAAGGATCGTGTGGCACTGAAGACTGGAGTAATGATGATGAAAATTCAGCTATGTATCATAAGAATAAATTACATTTTAGAATATATTAAAATTGAAAACAGTTACTTTCAATTGTAATACTATTTCGCAATATTATTGTTTTCAATGTATTTTGGATCCAATAAATGCAGCCTTGGTGAGCAGGAGAGACCCCAAACTAATATTAGGTCATATGATAACACTTGTGAAGAATAGACTGAAATTTTAGTTTTTTCCTCCAATTAAAACTATTATAGTCAAATGCACTAGTTTTTAATGGTGCTCTTTGTCATTTTTGGAGACTGGAAATTTTACGCAAAAGGGTAATGTCCCATTCATCTGCTTTTATCTTTAACAGATCAGGATAAAATCATATGGAATGATAAGGGGGGTGTCAATGCCTTACATTTTGGCATATTAACCACACAAAGCTATTTTATGACTTTAGAAGAGATGGAATATAGTTGTATGAACCACTTTAATGATACTTTTATGACACTATCGCATTTATTTTGAAGCTTAAAGGTCCTTATTAGGATGAGTAAAATCCTCTAAAATTTCTTGTTTTTTTGTTCTATGGAAAAAGAAAGTCTTAACAGGTATGACATGAGGGTACAGTGCATAATGACAGAATATTCATTTTGGGGTGAACTACAGTTTTTCACTGTCCAAACATTGACTGATGAGTACTTTATTTGTACATCCAAATGCATGTGGAAAACTGAGATTAAATACACATAATCACCTCATTGGGATTGACTCTGTCTGAATCGATGCACAAGCCGTGAACACACAGATCCTGACTTCCGCCTGCACAGTCATCATAGCGAGATGTACAGTGTGGACCGTACCATTCTGCAGTACAGGTACAGCTGATAAACAAAAGAAAAGTAAAATATGAACATAAAAATCTCACTAAAAACCCCACTCAAGAGAAATAACGGAGGATTACGTGAAAGATCCGGGTGTGTTCACACATGTGGCCCCGTTCTGACAGCCCAGCGGAGTTCCTGCTAACACCTGACACTCATTCACATCCACTGCACATGTAGGACCCTGTAAAGAGATTGAACCAAGTGGCAATCAGAATGACATATGAACAGGACAGAAGGACAGAAGGATGTCTGAATGACTGACCTGCCAGTTGTCAGGACAGAGGCAATGAAATGCGTCTAACAAGTTCAAGCAGGTTCCTGCGTTCTGACATGGATTGCTGCTGCACGTCTTCCGCTGCACTGTCTATGAAATACAGAACGCCATAAAACTGAGATTAAATCATAACGGCTGAAATGGAAGGCCTTTAATCATATGAGCAATAATCCTCAAGTGAAATGGATGATTACAGCGATACCTGTTCTATTGTCTGAACTTTTGTCTCAAGCGTCGTCACTCTGGTGTTGAGCTGATTGAGCTGGTTTGTAATATCCGGAGAAGGGCCACTGTTCTTTATGGTATCGATGTCATCTTTGTTCATTTTGATCTGGAACAGAGTTGATTAAAACTTGATTAAGTTTTTTTTCAACTTTACCCAGAAACAAAGTGCTTCAGTAACACAGACAAAATGCTTGATCTGTGCTGACTAGAATAAAGAAAATTTAATGTAAATGGAATAAAACCAAATTAAATGCAATTATGGAATTAAATTAAATTAAACAAAATGCACACAAAAAGAAATTAAACAAAACAAAACAAAAAAAGTCAAAATTAAACAACAAAATTAAACCTAAACAAAATGCATACAAAAAAAGACAATAAAACCAAAAAAGTAAACATAAACAAAAAACAATAAAACAAAATTAAATAAAAAGAACCCAATTTAGCAAATTGCAAAGTGCTTCAATAACAGACAAAACTGACTAGAATAAAGAAAATGAGATGTAAATGAAATAAATCTAAATTAACACAATTATGGAATGAAATTAAACAAAATGCACACAAAAAGAAACAAAACAAAACAATACAAGTTAAAATAAAACAACAAAACAAAAAACATCAAATCAAACCTAAACAAAATTCACACAAAAAGACAATGAAACAAAGTAAAAATAAACAAAAAACAATAACACAAAATAAAATAAAAAACACAACCAAAGAACTCAATAAAATAAAATAAAATAAAGGAAAAACAAAATCAACAAAACAAAACAAAAAATAAAATGACAAACCCTAGACATTTTGGAATTTTTATTTTTAATCAAATCCTCGTCTCACCTCATCAAATTCTCATTTTCTGAGAATAACATAAGCCTTAAGTCTTGCAATTATTAGCTCGTCTAATATGAGCCATATTTTTACTCAGAAATCTGATGCTTCAGTCAAACTCATCATGAACTCACCTGATTTATCTGCTGGATGAGATCCTCGGCCCCCACCTTCACACTTCCTGTCCCTGAGGTTGTGAAGCGAATGTCTTTGTTGTAGCCAGCAGAGAATGTGAGGTGACCACTTTCTGATATCATACGAGGCCTGCAAATCAATTACCAGGTAGGACACTTTTAATTTCTAACTTGCAGCAGAATTAAAAACCTTTATTGTTTAAAAACAATCTATACTGTTCAATAACATCATCCGTTTCATGACCATCGTCACATTGAAGCACAAAATATTCACAAAATTATACTCAGAGTTGCAGCAGGGAAAACTCAAAGAAACCCCATCCAAGCGTTTGAAACTATGAGAACTGATCTATTCAAATTTCAGGTGGTCTCAAACACGGCAACGTATCAATCTTTCAAGCAAACATAAAATAATTAATTTAAAATACATACTGGTCAGTGCTGATGTCCCGTTTTTGCCTGTTGTTAGATTTACCACCATGGTCACACTGCAGTCCAGAGAGGAAGAGCAGAAAGACTAAGAGCCAGGAGAAGCTCAGTGTCCGAGCCATGCTGAGAGAACTCGTCCCAGGACGCTCATCAGACACTGTACTGTACCTTCACACCTAAACCTGCCTAAAACACAAGCAGCCGGAGATGCACTTTGGACCCAAGGAGTCTTAACACCACTGCATTTCCTAAAATCACTCATAAAGAACACGTAACTGTCTAGAGGGCATTTAACTCAGCTGCATGCCAGCGATTTGACTTTATTGGTCAAGTGTCAGTGGCTGTCACATGTTTTTGGAGATCAGTAACCAAAGTTAAGACTGAAACTGCTGCTTAGGGCTCATTCTCTGAATATGAACAGCTTCACAGTAAATGACCCATTAAAGCTAATATAATCAGCTATTTAAAACTCATTTTAATTAGTGCTGTCAAACGATTAATCGCGATTAATCGCATCCAAAATAAAAGTTTTTGTTTACATAATATATGAGCGTGTACTGTGTATATTTATTATGTATATATAAATACACACACATTCATTATATATTTTGAAAATATTTACATGTATATACATTTATATTATTATATTATATATAAATATGCTTAATATATAAACATTTTTCTTAAATATATACATGCATTTGTTTGTATTTATATATACATAATAAATATACACAGTACACGCTCATATATTATGTAAACAAAAACTTTTATTTTGGATGCGATTAATCGTGATTAATCGTTTGACGGCACTAATTTTAATCTATACTTCCACTGATCTTTTGTTTTTGTGTAATCAAATGAAGGAAAATATGTAATTTCACACACTTTGTGACACTAATAAAAAAAACAAATGTTCAGTAAAAATAACATTTTATTTATTAATATACAAATATACATAAATTTTCCCTGTACATGGTTGTTTTCTTTCAGTCCATGTAATGTCTATTTTGAGATCACGAGACGTATAAGATGTGAAACCACATGGATGTTCAAGCTGTTTCCCAGCACACGGTACTGCTGCTTAACGGAAATGTGCTTTGGAAATGCTGAAACACACAAAATATAAAAATAATAAAAAACAGATTGAAACACAAAATATAAAAAAATGGGTTATGCACAAACAACATGAGGGCCAGTGAATGACATTTCATAGACAACTACAATAATGTAATATATTTCACTAAATGCTCAGTACTCCCTTAAAATGCCCCATGTCACAAAAACGGACTGAATTCTTGACTATTATATGGTAAAATGCTGTCTAAAAACAAACTCTTGACATCATTTGCAGCTGTTTTTGAATCGAATCGAATCCTGTAACAGCTTATTATCTGCATGGAAGCCAAGAGTGAATATTGGGAAGTTATTTATTAACCTTTCACACTCCAGTGGAATGACAAAGTGGACTTTAAAGCTTATGTTGCTGAAATCTTACATCATAAAAGGACATCTATGCATATCTGTTTATATTAATGTTAGGTTTGAGAAGATTTCTGTTAATTCATGTGATTTTATTGTATGCTGTGAGGGGTGAATGGGGTCAAAGTCTTACTGAAATCTGCAGGAAAGCCCATGAGGTTGGCGATCTCTCTGGGTGTGAAGTATCTCAGCTTTAACTGAAGAAGCTGCTTTAGTTTGTCTTCTTCAGAAAGCAGCTCCAGGTTCTTAAACACAGTCTCTAGCTCCACATCCACACAGGACTGCAGGACAGAGCCCGTGCCCTCCACATAGTGACCATAACTACACAAAAACAATCAACGGTTATAACCAACAAGGATATTAGCTGGGGAATCATTTTAAATATGGTCAAACATGTTAAATAGTACACTCCTATTGGTGGCTGAAAACGTTAGTAAATTTAGTACATATTAAATACATTTAAAATTTTTCCTCATTATAACTGCATTTATATGTATATAAAAAATTATGATATATAATAATATAATTTTTTATATGTATTTAATTGTTATATAATAATTATAACAAATAAATTATATATATATATATATATATATCCTTTTTATAAAATACATAGTTCATTTATGAATAAAATTCAATATTAAATTAAATATAAAAATATAAATTTATGTTTTTTCATTTCTTATAGAATATATAAATAAATGTATAAATAAAATAAATTACGTATTTATCATAATACAAACTAATATTGTAAGGCACACACCCTTTAGTGAAGCAGACTGATCTCCTGCAGCTGGGCTGAACTACATCCATCAGTAAAGCGTATCTGAGCAGGGTTTTGGGGGTCAGCAGATACTGATCCATGTCTTCTTTATCCTCCTGCAGGAAGTCCTGCAGCCTACGAACTGTTTCCTGACTGTCCTGGATCCTCTTCCTTCCCAACTCTTGTTCTGTCTCCAGCTTAAAAATGATCGTCCCACTCTTTTCTCTCTCACATTCAGATGATGTAGGATTATTGTGTGGAACAGCGAGACTGTCTGGTGATTCACACATGGGGAAGCCCTCCATAATCTGCCAGTAGAAGAAAAGCTTCAGTATTCAACTGCAACTGCATTAGTTAGAATAGATCTAAACAGAAAAGTACCTCTGCTGAAGTCGGGAATGAGAAGGATCCTGGTGGTCTCTTTGCAATGAGGAAGTATCGGAGCCTAGAGTTAGGTATGCCAAGCTGTGGCAATAAAAACCATCATGAAAACAAAACTGGGATACAAAACTATTAAGAGGTGAAGAGACATGCTTACAGATGTTGGTGAGATCAGAAACTCCTGAAAGCTGTAGTCACACTCTCTCAATGTCTTAAGCAAAGCATCCCTGTAAATTAAAATACCAAAACAGCTCAGTTACGCTTTTTGATGCTAACTAAAAATTGGCTTATATTGGCTCTGATGGTTCCATGAAGAACCTATAACATCCATGGAAACTTTAAAGGGATAGTTCACCCAAAGTCATCAAATACCACTTGTTCCAAACGTGTATGAGTTTCATTCTTCCGAAAAACACAAAAGAAGATATTTTGAAGAATGTTCATAACCAAACAGCTGACGGTAGCCATTGACTTCCACAGTATTTTATTACATACTATGAAAGTCAATGGCTACCGTCAACTGTCTGGTTATCAACATTCTTCAAAATACCTTCTTTGTGTTCAACAGCTGAAAGAAATGTATACAGGTTTGGAACAATTTGAGGGTGAGTAAATTATAGAATTTTCTTTGGAGTGGAAAAAAGGTTCTTTAGTTCATTAATCTGTTCTAAAAAATATTATTTTAAGAACTATTCACTGAAAGGTTCTCAGAAATACTTCTTCTATGCCAAAACCCACTTTCGGAACCTTTATTTTTAAGAGTGTAAGACTAATTTTAAGGTAAAGCTTTTACTTTTTTTAACATTAAAATACTTCCATTCATTCCAGTTTAATGTGCAGAGACAACTATAAGATTCTTATTAGCACAATCAATGGTGGCAGAAACACAGAGGGGAAACCAGTGACCCCGCTGGCTCATAGCCATGTAACTATGGTGATTTCAAGGCTCCTGTGCCGCGCTGGTTACCTTGCAGCAGAGGTCTCAAAGCCCTTCACATTCTCCAGCAGAATGAAGCGCGGCCGCTTGCTGAGCCTGCCGTGACGAAGAGAGGTACATTCTTACACAATCACGTTCAGGGAAAAAACAACTCTGGCAGAGCTCGAGAATAACACAACGGATTTGAGAAAGGGCAAATGGAGAGGGAAAGAAAGGAAGCTTCTTTGTCCTTTCATCAGACATGAATTAATAATGTCAGAGGTGCAAAAATACCGTAGAATGGACACTGCCAGGAAATTTGGCTTGTTCATAGGAAGTAATATTAAAGGGGTCATATGATGCGATTTCAATTTTTCCTTTCTCTTCGGAGTGTTACAAGCTCTTGGTGCATAAAGAAGATCTGTAAAGTTGCAAAGACTAAAGTCTCAAATCCAAAGAGATATTCTTTATAAAAGTTAAGAGTCAACCACGCCTATGTCCCCACTGGATGCAACAAATGCCTCGTTTGTAATGGGTTTTCATGTTTTTGTGTCGGTGCTCTGGCCGGACACGGCATCAACACAGTATGGTGAGGGGCGTAACATTTCCGTCTCACGCTTGAGGTATTCGGCCAATCACAAATTCACTGGATAGCTGGCCAATCACAGCACACCTTGCTTTTTCAGACCGATGAGCTTTGTAAAAATCAACGCGTTTCAGGAAGGCGGGGCATAGAGGAGAAACAATAATGTACAGTATGTGGAAAATAATGTGGTTTTTTAACCTTAAACCGCATAAACACATTTCATTACACCAAATACACAAAATAATGTTCTTTTTAGCAGCATCATATGACCCCTTTAAGAAAGAGAGCAAACTCAAATTTGGAAATCAATATCAGAGAATTAATGTTTAAGTGACTTAAAAAGAGCACAGACTGATCAGTCGGACCTTGGCAGAAGCTCCAGGATATAGAGGAAGCTCTTTGTTCTGGGGTCGGCAACATCTCCCTGCAAACCAATCCTGTTGAGAAACACACATTAGCTTTAGTCAACCAATTTAGCAGCCTTTTCCATGCTACCAAAGTTTGGGGTTGGTAGGATTTTGAAATGTTTTTGAGAGAAGTCTATTATGCATTTATTTGGTCAGTTAAAACGGTAATATTGTGAAATATTAATATTGAACTGTTTCTATTTGAATATATTTTAAAATGTAATTTATTCATGTGATTCAAAGCACTCTTCAGTGTCACATGGTCCTTCAGAAATCGTTCTAATATGCTGACTTGCTGCTTAAATGTGCTATTATTATCAATGTTCAATGTTGTGCTGCTTTTTGTGGAAACTGTCATTTTCAGGTGTTCAAGATTTATTTGAAATATAATGCTTTCATAACATTCGAAATGTCTTTATTGTTACTTTTGATCGATATAACGCATCACTGATGAATAAATTCCTTTCTTTCAAAAATAATTTAAAAAAAAACATCATATAAAAAAATTTTTAAAAAAGAGAGTCATACAATTTGAAACATGCAGGCAAAAATAAAATTGTTGTTTTGTGTGAACTACTACTTCAATGAACAAGAAAAACATGCGGATCACCTGGTGAACGGCTGACATGGTGGGCTCATCAAAATCACGTCAATGTTCAGTTTGTCAAAATCCTGTAACGGCATTCCCTGATACACAAAGCCAAAAGAACTATTATTAAACAACTATACTTAAAAAATAAAGAAATAAATAATTAAATAAATGACTGCTCTTCAAAAAAAAAAAACAACAACCTCACACTTAGAACAATTCAATGTTATAAAGCAAAAATATTAAGTTATTTAATCTTGCATAAGTCTTGATCTGTAAACATTCTTATACATTCAAAAATAAATTTACAAAGACAGATTTACTCCACAATAATGTCATTTAAATATCGAATCCATCTTCATTATCACTCTTTAAACCTCCATCCATTCTTTCAAGCATTGTTTTATATTCTTACGAACTGAGGTCAGTGGCAGGTACATCATTACCATGCTGACGAAGCACAGAACCTTTAACCACCACAAAAACCGCTCAGTTACACTTTTACCTCCTATTGCTTTTAAAAACGCAGTCATGGGACTATGTGCTGATAGAATTAACCAAGAAACATCATTTTAAGGATGTTACAAAAGAGACATGTTGTTACGAATGCAATAAATCAGTTCAATAAGACAGATTTTGCTTACACAAGCTGTTTGAGTTGCAGAAAGGTCAATAATCTGACATAACTCCAGGCAAAAAATGCAAAAAAAAAAATCAGTCATAATTATCTTACTTGTTAGATTACGTATTATTGTCTGTATACATTTGCAAAATGGGAGCCGCTTATGCGTTCAGACAAAATGTGTTTAATCATTTTCATAACCAACTGAGATTCATGAGGGCAAGCACTGACCTCGATAGTTTTTGGCAGGAGTGGGGTATTGGGGAAGTTGTGTTTGTAGATTTCATTGGCTGTTGTGTTGACATCCACAGCAGCAACAACTTCAGCAGGAACTGAGCTCTCTGAAAGAAACGCACACATTTCTACTAATTCAACTATTGAGAAATTAGCTAGTCTTCACAACACAACTCTAAAGAAACACACGAACGTTTCTTCAGTCTGTGAATGTCACATTTTATTTATGAAGAAAACGCACTGCAAATGTACAGTAAGGGAAGAGTGACACCTGTGGGGATCATACAACAGAGACTCAAACACCACCAGCGTGTCAATCATTTTCTAGACACAGAGCCTCTGCAACTGATCCTGTGTCAGTCATGTTATCAATAATCGCTACAAATTTAGACCAAATGACGTACCCTTTAACGCATAATGCATCCCTCCTATTCCGCTGTATAACTCCAGAACACGGAGTGGCTCCATGTTCTCCATCTTTTCCTGCTGAATAATGTTTATGATATTTTGACAGCGTCTCAAGCGTGCCACATGTGTGCGCTCCCGAACATGATCCTCTAGAAACAAGTGCATTGACGAAACGTTCCGCTTTAGTTTTCTTTCTCTTATTTTATTCTTCCTAAAAATAACTAAATAAATAAAATTAAATACAACAATAATAATAATAATTATTATAACCTATTAAAATGTAATTTGCATTTCAAATAGTAACAGTAGATGACATTACCTTCAAAAAAATGTGTGTGTGTTTGTGTGATTTTGTAGATGATAGATAGATAGATAGATAGATAGATAGATAGATAGATAGATAGATGAAAACTACGAAAATAAATAACAAATATTTATATAATAACCTACAAAACATCTAAAAATATTTGTAAAAATATATTATTTAAAAACAGAAATGAGCTAATAATTTTTGTATTTACCGGTAAACGAATGAATGGATAAATAAACTGAATATTTATCGTTTATTATGTATATTATAAAATTTAAATACAATGCAGATACAGCTAATATTAAACATTTTACGAAAATACATTTATTAAACGGAAAAACAAATGATACAAAAGTGAATATAGGCTACTCTCCTGGTGTTGCCAGAGTCAAACTCTTTCACTGATAGTTATGGAGAGGCACATTCTACTCCTCCGCCCCGACGGCGCTTCTGCGTCACTAAAGCTCCCTGCACCGTTATGTCATTAGCATAGGGAGTGGACTATAAATGCAAGCAGAACCTCTGCAGTGGTCTCGGTTGGTTTGGACAGGGTGCGGTAGTTCGTGAAAGTAGACGCTGACTTCAACAATACCCCAGAACTAAAGGATTACAATGGCCAGCCGACCAAACACATCTTCTTACAAAAGGATGTTCGGTGGAGAGCGACCAGCGATGCTTCGGTCCACTTACTCCAGCCGGCAGTACAGCAGCCCGGTGCGCACAAGCTCGCGGGTGTCCTACAGCAGCGCGTCCTCCGCGTCTCCATCCATCTACATGAGCAAGGGTGCGAGGGTGCGCACGAGCGCGCCGCTGCCCAGACTCGCCTGTGCGCTCCCGAACATGATCCTCTAGAAACAAGTGCATTGACGAAACGTTCCGCTTTAGTTTTCTTTCTCTTATTTTATTCTTCCTAAAAATAACTAAATAAATAAAATTAAATACAACAATAATAATAATAATTATTATAACCTATTAAAATGTAATTTGCATTTCAAATAGTAACAGTAGATGACATTACCTTCAAAAAAATTGTTTGTTTGCATGTTATCTTGTCAGTAGATTTGACTAAATATTCAAATATTGTTTAATAAAATTTTTATATTATTTTGTAAAATATAATATATATACACACATATATATGTTATTAAAGTATTTGTTAACTTAAAGAGCTATTTCTACCTGATCTAACCCCTACATTTTTTTGTTGCTAAAAATTAATGCAATTACATTATTAATAAATGTAATTAGTTTGAATATATGTTTGATAACATTTTTTTTTTTATATATATATAAATAAGATCTTGATCGCGGAGCTGGAGCAGATGAGGGGCAAAGGCTCGTCCCGGGTCGGTGATCTGTACGAAGATGAGATGAGAGAACTCCGGAGACAAGTGGACCAGCTCACCAACGAGAAGGCCACGGTGGAGGTGGACCGGGACAATCTGGGAGAGGACATCGAGCGCCTCAAAGAGAAGTATGGCCAAACATTGTCCAAGAGACTGTGCAAACAAACCAAAACGGTTATAAGTGTAAAATAGCATTAAATATCTGCCAAGTGCATGAGTTTATAAAAATACTTTTTTTTGCAAACAAGGGTTTAAAATCATATTATTGCCATTTCGTATTTCATATCACCAACAGAACTGTATAGCTAATAAGAAAAATGCATTCATAAATGCATTTTAACGGTGCATTTATACAACAAAACAATGTATAAATTGAAGATTTTGAACTATAAGTTGAAGATTTAGAGTGTCTATCTCTAAAATCCTAAATATATATATATATATATATATATATATA